TGGTAAGCATCTCATGGAGTCCAAGGCAAATGTGGTAGAATATGCTCCAAAAGTAAAGAAACAGAAGTATTTTGGAGAAAGCTCTGCATAAGGCTGCAAAGAAGGGGAAACTAAAAAGTACAAGTTCAATGGCAAATATTACATTTGTGACAAAGAGGGATATCGGGTCAAAGATTTCCGTAGTAAGCGCAAAGGCAAAGGAAGATCAAGCAAGAAGCCTGCTTAAGCTAATATGACCGAAGTGGACAAAATTTCCAATGGTGTAGATGACATAAATCTTTATGCAGTTGTTTTTGAGGCAAACCTTATTGGAAATCCTAAAGAATGGTGGGTGGACACTGGTGTTACTCGCCACATCTGTGCCAACAAAAGATGTTCACATCTTATTCTAAAGTGGACAACGGTGAACAACTTTTTATGGGCAACTTCCCAACTTCCAAAGTTGAAGGACAAGGATAGATTATTCTGAAGATGACATCTGGAAATGAACTCACTCTCAATAATGTGCTGCATGTACTAGACATTCGTAAAAACCTTGTTTCTGGATCTTTGTTGAGTAAAAATGGGTTTAGGCTAGTTTTTGAAAGTGACAAGTTTGTACTTACCAAAAACGGGATGTATGTAGGAAAATGTTACATGTCTGATGGCCTTTCCAAAATGAATGTAATGACTGTTGTACCCTCTGTTATTAATAAAAATACATCTTCTTCTTACTTGCTTGAGTCTTCAAATTTGTGACATAGCAGACTAGGACATGTTAATTATAGATCTTTGCGTAGATTAATTAATATAGAATGTTTACCTAAATTTGACATTGATTCAAATCATAAATGTGAAATTTGTGTTGAGGTAAAATTATCCAAAACTCTTTTTCGTTCAATTGAACGAAGCGCGGAGCCACTTGAATTAATTCATAGTGACATTTGTGATTTTAAATCAATTCAAACTAGAGGTGGGAAAAATATTTTATCACTTTCATAGATGACTATACTAGATATAGTTATGTTTATTTAATTCGAACCAATGACGAAGCTTTGGAAACTTTCAATCAATACAAGAATGAAGTTGAAAATCAACTTGGTAAGAAAATTAAGAAACTTAGAAGTGATAAAGGTGGTGAATATGAATCACCTTTTGGTGAATTTTGTAAAGAACATGGAATAATTCATCAAACCACCGCTCCTTACTCACCTCAGCAAAATGAAATTACTGAAAGAAAAAATAGGATTTTAAAAGAAATGATGAATGTCATGTTAATAAGTTTTGGATTATCTTAGAACTTGTGGGGGGAAGCAATAGTTTCAACTAATTATATATTTAATAAAGTACCCCGAAAGAAAGTGAATCAAACACCTTATGAAATGTGACATGGAAGCGTATCATCCTAAAAATACTTAAAAGTGTGGGGGTGTTTAGCTAAAGTGACTATTCCTAGTCCTAAAAAGACTAAGATAGGTCCTAAAACAGTTGATTGCATTTTCATTGGTTATGCCAAGAATAATATTGCATATTGATTTTTGATTCATAAGTCAAAACATTCCGAAATGCATGTAAATACTATCATTGAATCTTGGAATGCATTGTTCTTTGAACATATATTTCCAAACAAGACGAGACAAGAGACTAATACTAATAAAAGATCTTATAATGCTATTACTAGTCATGATCAAGAACAAGAGCAAGAGATAGATCAAAATAAGGAAAAGGAACCTAGGCGTAGTAAACGTGCTAGAACCTCAAAATCTTTTGGTCTAGATTTTCTAACATTTTTGTTAGAAAATGAGCGTCTAACTTTTAAAGAAACTATGTCCAGTCCTGAGGCTCCTTTATAGAAAGAAACTGTAAACAGTGAAGTTGAATCCATCATGCAAAATCACACTTGGGAATTAGTAGATTTACCACCAGGGTGTAAACCTCTTGGATATAAGTGGATTTTCAAAAGAAAAATAAAAACGGATGGATCAATTGACAATACAAGGCAAGACTTGTGGTAAAAGGATTTAGACAAAAAGAAGGTCTTGATTACTATGACACATACTCACCGGTTACTAAAATAACATCCATTAGAATGCTAATTGCTATTGCATGGTTGTAGAAGCTAGAAATTCATCAAATGGATGTGAAAATCGCTTTCTTAAATGGTGAGTTAGATGAAAAAATTTACATGGAACAACCAGAAGGATTTTCTGTTTCAGGAAAAGAAAAGAAAGTGTGTAAATTGGTTAAATCATTATATGGTTTAAAACAAGCGCCAAAGCAATGACACGAGAAATTTGACAAAGTAATGATGTCAAATGGATTCAAAATTAATGAATGTAACAAATGTGTTCATATTAAAAACACAAACAAAGGCTATGTTACAGTATGTCTTTATGTGGATGATATGCTCATCATAAGTAGTAATAATGACATGATTAAAACTACCAAGAAAATGTTGAATAAATATTTTGACATAAAGGACATGAGGATTGCTGATGTAATACTTGGTATGAAAATTACCAAAACATCAGAAGGTTATGCTTTGTCACAATCACATTACATTGAGAAAATACTTGACAAATTTAGCAAAGATGATGATCATTTTGCTAGAACACCCGTGGATGTCAATTTGTTTCTTTCTAAGAATGTATAAGAAAGTATTTCTCAATTAGAGTATGCCCAAATTATTGGAAGCTTAATATACTTGATGAACTGCACTTGCCCATATATAGCCTATGCAGTAAGTAAATTAAGTAGATATACGAGTAATCCAGCAGTAGAACATTGGAAAGCTATTTTAAGGATTCTTAGATACCTCCGATTTACTTATAACACAGCAGTACTTGAAGGATATTGTGATGGAAATTGGATATCGGATGCTAGAGACCCAAAATCCACCAGTGGATATGTTTTTACACTTAGTGGTGCGTCTGTATCTTGGAAATCTTCCAAACAGACTTGCATTACTAGGTTTAGTATGGAATTAGAATTCATAGCGTTAGATAAAGCTGTGGAAGAAGTAGAATGGCTTCATCACTTCCTTGAAGATATTCCAATGTGGCCAAAATCGGTGCCAGCTATATGCATACATTGCGATAGTCAATCAGTAATAGGTAGAGCACAGAGTCATATATATAACGGTAAGTCACGACACATTTGTCGTCGACATAATACCGTGAGACAACTACTCTCTAATGGAATTATTTCCATTGAATATGTGAAATCTAAAGACAACATAGCGGATCCACTAACCAAAGGGTTAACAAGAGAGTTAATTGAGAATTCATTGAGGGGAATGAGACTTAAGCCTATTAAATAAGAGTTACCACAACGACAACCCAACCTAGTTGACTGGAGATCCCAAGATCTAGGTTCAAAGGGACAACCGAGTTGTGTATGACTCATAAGGATCATTGGGGAGTCAAACTCCTACCTATTTCTATGATGAAATAGTGATGTTTGCAGCGTTTTAGGTTAAGTAATACTTTTAATGATTCTTATATTTAGGTATACCTAGTGGAGTATGGCAGGATATTCTTCATAAGAATCACTTATATAAGTGTGAACCGGGCCAGTTCTATGAGAATTGTGAAGGGCTACAATTCTCTAGAGCACTCATGAAAGACCAAGTTGTTCAGGGCCAAAATGAACATAACAGGGAGAACTAAACTGTGTCTGGTAATATGCTGTGTGAGTTCTATTGTCTTGGTTTATACAAACAGCTGAACAGTTCAAGACATCATGTTCACTGATTAGCTAGTAAATCCGATAGTGCCTCACAAGGGAAGATTCAAAGCCAAAAGCTACCTATCCTTTGCAGAATATTTCCAATATCTATACTCTCTGTAGTTAGATCATGTTGTTACATTTTTTCTCTGTCAAATTCCGTTCATGTGGGAGATTATTGGCATTTGTAGTTTTTATAGGCTTATTTTGGGCCAACTTTGGGCCTAAATTTGAGTGGGGTCCAGACGTCTTTTGGGGTGGGTCCAAAGATGTGATATATTCCTTACCACACGGTAAGTCACACGGTGAAGATGGTTTGTCAAAACCATTTATGAGTGAATGGGAAGTTGATGTCGATTTCGAGTTCGTGAAATGGACAATTAAAGAATTAAATGTGAGTTTCCTTATAAGGCTTATCCCACAGTGGAAACTTAAGAGAACTTATGTGTGTATATAAGTTTTATGTGGCAACACTTGGGTTGGGCCCCAAGGGGCACCTCAAGTTTGTAGAAGGGAGGAGTTATAGACAAGGTGAACCTTGGCTCAAACCATCACACATGCGCGTGCCCGCTGTTCATGTGACCGACCGACAGTGCTAGGTATGGGTGTGGGTTATGGGTCGGGTCGGTTTTAACATTAATTTTTTGGACAAAATTTATTTTAATTTTTTTCAAAAATAATTGCGAGAAAATTAATTTTTCTGAATGAAATTAATTCAAATTTGAATTCAATTTCTATCCTAAATTCTTTCCTTCTTCGGTCCAAAAAGACCAAACAGATTCGATTTTTTTTTCACGGCAAATTCAAACTGCCCAACAATTTCAGAATAGATATGAAACCGCTACAATTATCTGTTCAAAATTTGAATTGTATCTGCTGCACCTGTTCATTCAAAAACCTAACTATTCGATTTGATTTTTAGACCTGTTTGGGTCTATATATACCAAACCATTTTCAGCAGTCAAGTCATTCCGAAAATCAGCTTCTTGCCTTCCTTTTGTTCTCTTGCATAAATATATTCTTCATATTATTTTAGGAAAAAATTCAGAGAGTAAAGAACACAAGTTTTTGTTCGCTGTACAAATTATTTGGAGTGCTACTACAATTTGTGAAGATCATTGTATCATGGGAGATAGACGCCATTAGTCTGTAAGCATCGTAACGGGGTGAATCTGTCTTAAGGACAGAGTATCACACACTCGACTTGATCTTTTTGTATTTTTACATTTCGGTAAAATACATTCGATAAATAATTTATTTTTTATTTGTTTGATTTGTTTCAAGTTATTTATTTACACAGAAGATTCTTCCAACATTTTGCACGCCACCTATTTGCTAATATGCCTCTGAAAATATAAAATATTAAATCTGTGTGTCTTTTGCATTCTAATTAAAGAATAGGTTTTGCAGTTGCCTTGGATTGGATTAGAGCGGTGAAGCTTCTCATCTATGGCTGGTGGTGTGGCTGGGCTCAAAACAAAGCTTGCAGATATCAGTTAGAAGCGGTGGCCGAAGTCGTTACCTTAACCGCAAGGTATGTAATTTCTCTCTTTCAATTCGTATAATCTGTTACTTTGCATTTTGGTTGAGCTTTTTTATTGTTTCTTTGTTCTTTTGCGGTTTCTCTCTTCCTATCTTTATTTGTTGTGATTTGTAACTTCCTGTGACTCTCTATTTTTTATTTATTTTTTTATTTTTTGTGATTTGCAGATGAGCTGCGAATCCAGAGAAACTGGTATGTCAACTCTTGCCTTTACGATTCTTTGACTTCTACTGACATGCTCGTATCAGATTTGTATGTTTTGCATACTTGTTAATGCATGGAGAAATTATGCATACCAATTGTTTGACAATACGCCTGACTAAAAAAAAAAAAAAAACTTAAGTAAAAGGGAGTTTTCATTTACTAGAGGAACTGACTTTAATTAAATAACTTCTTATTAATCTATTGAGTGGTTTATATTGTTTCTTATCTTATATATTATATACAATATGGACCCAAGTTGTGATTTTACTCACTTGGTCATACCAAACATTAGGAATTTATTAATGCTAAAAAATTCTTGGTGTCTTAGGTTATCATCATAGGACTGTCTCAAGGATCAAATATATTATGCTATAATAAGTTGTTGAACAATAACATGTTCAAAAACCAGTATTGCAAACAGGGTATTAACGATCATCATAGCTTTTAAGTTGTCTTCTAGATAAATAGCCCTTTAGTTGCAATTGTCATGCCGCAATAGGACCGAATGGCTAACCAATCCATTATCCCCATGTAATAGAGCTTTAAAGCAGTCGTACATGTTTGGTATATATACAGCTAGCTCTTTCCTTCACTGTTGGTACGAACTGGAGCAACCAAAATTATGGTATATTAGGATTTTTATTTTATTTTATTTTATTTTATTTATTTATTTATTTTGTTGTTGTTGTTGCTATTTTCCTACCCTTGACAATTCTTGGGATTGAGGTATGGTGCCTAGTATGTGTTTGGTATTTTGTGTGATTGAAAAGATCATGTATGTTGCTTGTCGTTTATTGCTTGAGGCTAATCCAATTATTACTAATGTGCCGGTTTTGAATATGTTTATCTGAATTCTCAGGATGATTAATGGCGGCATGCTTAACACATGCAAGTTGGATAGGAAATGGTGTTTCTAGTGGCGGATGGGTTAGTAATGCGTAAGAACCTGCCCTTGGGAGGGGACCTCTCCTACTATGGTTTGTTACTTCATGTTTTTGAGTAAAACTAATGCCATAATTGTTAGTAATATACATTTGTATATCCCATTTCTCACATGAGTTGCTGATCTCTAACATGCTCTTGGGTGTTCACAGCCATTTGCTTTTGCTGTATTCATGGATCAGCTATTGCTTGCAATGCAAGCACTGAATGTATGAACATCTTGCTCACATTTTTGTTTGTTGGTTGGAAATGTGTACATAGTGATTTCTTACTTTGTAAAGCCATGGTTATTTAGTGCCCCATTATCAACAGTAGAAAATGTGTGATGGTTCTTGGGGAATTGAATCATTTGAAAAGTTATTATAAATTAAAGTTGCCCTCCACTGGGATTATATATCATGAAGTCTTCTTATCTAAGAAGTACAGACACAGACATAGACACGGGACATGGTTATTGCAAAAATAATGGGGACACAAACATAGCAAGAATACGACAATAATATATATATATATATATATATTTATTTGCTAAGTAGATTAATATTACATCTATAAACAATCAAAATTAACAAAAACTCAAACTAATTTGATATAACACACACAAAAAAAAAAAAAAAAAAAAATCTTAATTGTGAGAAAAGGATGAAGACCTAAGGAAAATACAAATTGAAGCCTTGAAGGGCTCCGAATAGACTTGCTTGAATGAAAATAGTTATTACATGTTGGTGATATCCTATTTATAGCCAGTATTGCATATTTTGTGTTCAAAATTTTCTCTGAAAAAAATCTTCACAATTTTGCGTTCCTACATTATTTCTGCCAGCAATAATTTGACCCCTACCCGCATAGCGAGTGGGGGTTCAACTAGTGATTGATAAAATAATGAAAGTAATTTAAAGATTAAACTGGAGCATCATAAAACTTCGAAAGAAGCTTGGGGCATATTAAAACTGTCAGAAATTGACCAGTTCTTTACACACACAGATGTAACATAATATGTAATTGAGTACATTGGAAGCTATTTGCACCCACCATATGGTAGGATATCTTGAAACCAAAGAGTGAGTAGCTTTCATAAAATCTTAGAGATGATTTGGGTGGATTTCAGCATTAACATACTTATATATATATATATATATATTGCGCTTATTATTCTTTCATTATTAATGGAATATAATTGTGCATGCTCAGGTTTTCCTTGGAAGGTCAACAGAAGATTTTGATGTTGACATAGACTTAGGAAGAGAATAGTATGCTTATAAAATCTCTGGATAACAGGTATGGTTTTCTTTGACCACCTTTGAGCACACTTCATAAATGCATGTTGGCACTAAGAAAAATCATTTAAGGCTATGATATTTCTAGTAACTTGAAGCTGGAAAAATTAAAGTTCCCAGTTGTAGCTTTGAGCTCTGTTTAGTCTAACATTTATCCTGAAAGCAAGGGTCCTACCCTTTGATAAAATAGATTTGTAAAAACAGGAGTCCTTACTAAGACTAGAACAGTCTCTACAAATAGGAAGTTTATTCATATGCTTCTAACGGTCTTTGAATTAATTTGTGATTTCATTTTTGAGGTTAGAAACTGTTTGGAGAGATGCAAAATATGGTCAAAGAATTCAAGAACTTTTTGTTTCAAGTTTTTTCATTTTTTAATATATGTAATCATAGTAAAAACTTTTTATTAATTCATTTGTATATACTTTTGAACATTCAACTTTCATTTATGAAATATATGATGTTATTCCATTCAATATGTGATTGTTATTCAAAGGATAGTATATAGTGTGTATTACATTCTTCAAATGCGCGTACAAAAATAATATTAATTAGTCTTCAAATATGTCGAACCCTTTTTTTGTTACTCACATTAACTGTGATAAGAAATGCATATAATGTATGATCTAATCTCATTATTAATCACAGGTTTTATTATAGATTAATCACACTTAAAATCTGTGATCTAAATGTTTATTATCATTGGTTTTATTAGTTATTAATCACACTTAAAAGATGTGATTTAAATATTTATTATTACACGTAGAACGTGTGATGAAATCATTTTTTAATGACACTTAAAACGTGTGATTAAAAATGTCCCTTTTAATCACTCCAAAAGATCACACTTTGACAAAACATAAAAAGTGTGATCTATTTATAATTTTGTAGTAGTGAGAGACTCTAGAAACTGAACCATTGGCAATTTTAGGATGGAGAGCATAAAGCCTATTTGGAAATGGCTGGAGCCCCCTTCCAGAAACTTCATCCTTGTTATCATTGGGATATGGTGTAATGCATGCCTCCGTTTTCTTGTACCTAGTAAACATTATGAAAAAGAAAAAAGAAAAAGTAGAATGCAAATGCAATTCCGTCGGAAGAGGCATATGCAAATAACATACAATAGGGGCAAGGTTAAGGTAAAAAATTTTTAAATATATAATAAGGTAAAAAAAAAAAAAAAAAAAAAAAAAAAAATTAGAATGCATGTAAGGTTATTCAATTTCCGAACAACATATGCAAATAAAATACACATGACAAGGTTGAATTAAAGAATTGCTAAATGTATGATAGGGTTGATAGGCCTACCTTGAAGTTGATTAAATTCAGTTACAATCTGAACGACATAACAATATATTTACAGTTCATAGATAAGGGGCTTAAAATATTACTAAAATAAAGTACTCTTCAATTAGTTTCAGTGCTAGAATGATAAATTTGGACCTCAAGACCCCAAATCATTCAAATTTCCAAAAATGACGATACAATCAACATAGAATTTCTTGGGGACCCCAAAACAAAGGACAAAACATAGTAAAAGGATGACAAGGAAGGAAAGACATTGGTGACAATTATTTTCTTTACTATTTTCTTCTTTTTTGATTTTTTTCCTTTCCTGATCCTAATTATGTTCAACATTCTTAAAGAATAACCAGTACATGGAACTTTTCTCAACCCCATCCTAACTTGTCTCGTATGACAAGACTCAGGAAAGAAATATGCTTCTTTCTCACTATATTCCCAAAAATCAAAGAGATATCCATAATGCCAATTATAGTTATTGTTACCTAAACTTATCATTTATAACACGATTAAATTGCCAGAAATAACTATTAGAGGCATAAAAATTCCGACCTTACCAAACATCTATATCTACATTCAAAAATAAAACCACGTTCATGAGCGAAGCATGAAGAATGATTAAGAAGTTTCCCTAATGACCACTGCAGGCATTCCAAATAAATAAACTCAGGAAGAATTCTGGATGGCATATTCTTCAACTTTTATTGCTCTCTAGAAAGGAATTGAACATAGCAACTGCTGATATAGTACAATACACAAACGAATGCCACAAAAACCTTAATAAAGCATCAGGCCAACAAATAAACAAACAATCAAGCAAGCAATTGATATTTAGACTAGATTAAATGAACAAAATTCTGTAGCACTCCATAATTCATCAAAATCCCCCACATGAGCTATAAATCTAGCTTGTCACACTATTTCAATGATTTGATATAGACGTTTTATTCTAGATTCAATCATAAGCACTATAAATCATCTTTCCATACAATGTTAGAACTTCTCCTCTTCAATTATCCTATCCAAAAAAATCCATAAGAATTTGTTCTAAAAAAAATCTCAAGGATATAATAGATAATCAAACAGAGTAATTTGTATTGTTAATTAGCTAGAGTAAAATATCTATTTATATTTTTCTAGTATGCATAGCATCACTGGTAATAGACCTTGAATATCAATCGCAGCACCATACTAGACATCATATGCATCAGCTGCTTTGCAAAATGTAGCTTGAGAATTGTCTCGTGTGCGATGACATGACTCGGCATTTACTCTCTTCTGCCATATAGCAATCTCACCTTTCTCAGACTTCTTCTCCCAGCAAAGAAGTTTAGCAATCGCCTCATGTAGCACTCTGTATTTTTTGTTATAATGGAATTATATTTGAATCTTTGAATATCTTGATTGGGAACCTTCTTAGTCGATATTTGAGCTTTGTTTGAGGTGTTATCATAGTGGGTGGGTGAGATTGAATCAAAAACTCTAAATTTGAATAGTTGTTATTGAGTAGTCTTCACTCTTTTATCATTTTCTCTTTCCACACTTTGAATCATGATGTGAGGCTACAATCATCGGAAATCTTACTTCCGGGACTTCAATTTGGACACAAGAATGACCCTAAATGGAGTCTGAATGAGAGAGTTATTTCTGTTTGAAATTTATGAATTTGTGTTGTGAGTATAGTGCTCTCGAGCGCAACTTTCAATGCTTAAGCGTACTGCGCAGAATCAAGTCTTTAAAAGTCACTTTTTGGATCAAATCTCTTCATTTTTCAATCCTTTTTCTCTCTCCTTCTGCCATTTTTAATTTCTCAATCTTTTTAGGCTTCATTTCATCTATTTCTATACATCTTTGACTCTTAGTCCCATATACCAAAACGTAGAGCATGACAAGGGCTTCTATTTAATCTCAACAGATTGTCGTTTCGTCACCGGTGTTTTTTTCGACTTGTTTCCTTCTTGTTTCAAGAGGTAGGATCTATTTCTTAAACTCAATATGAGTTCGGTAATGTATTTGTGGTGTATTTTAAATATATAGATTTCGTTGTCCTTGAATTGATTTTTGAAAATTTGTTTTATAAGTGAGGGTTTGTTCCAAGTGGGATTGTTGAGCTATGATTTGGCTACAAAAGTTTATTTTTCACTTACAAAAATGCATGAGTTTTTAAAAGTAAAAAGTCCTTATTTGGAGAAACCCTAAAATGTTGATCTTTTGGAAAAATGGTTGGATTATTAAAACAAAATGTAAATGAGGGTTTTCAAATGTTTTCTTGAAAAAGGTTGGGATTATGAAATTGGAGTTGATATATGTTGAAATGAGCTTTTTCTTGCATTGAAATGGATTTTCAAAGAGGAAATGGGTTATGCCAAAAAATGTAAATGTTGAGATTGTAAAGAAGATATGGAATGAATGTTGAGAAATGTTAAATTGAAATGATGATTAATGATAATGGTAGAGTTTGATATGTATTATCACTCCCATTTGAGATTTTGAAAAAGTGTGTCTTCAATGGAATTTATTTATCTATTTAGAGATAGTTGTTTTGGACTATCGGTAGAGGATAGCTATGATTGTTGTAGAAATTGCACGTGAATTAGGCAAACTGGACTGTTTATAAATCATGCATATCATGGAGCATATAATGGATTTTGAGAATTTAAAATGTATGTTTTGGGAAGAAATTTTGGAAATTCTTGTGTTATGTTATAAGAGCATTTATTTCATTTGGAAAATCAAATTTTGGATCACATGCATTGTGCTATTTGGAAAGGGTAAATAAAATGGTAAATCTGAGAAATGGTTGTTGTTACATCAAACAAATTGACCTGTACGTCTAGGGTGAAAGTCCTGAAAACCGCGCGTCTACATGGGTGCCAATATCGCTGACGAAATTTTCGTAAAATGGCAATGGCAGTGCTTGTATAGCCTACGTTTATATGGGTCACGTTTGACGGTTTCCCGCAGATGAAATTTCCGTGAAAGATTGTATTGGTTTTGGAGATTTACTCATTTTATTTATTTTCATTTTGGTTTTGGAAAGAAATGATTTGGAATCGGGTTTTAGCATTGTAATTGCTATTAGTTAACGATGTATTTGTATTAGAATTGGTAATGAAATTGCTAGATGGTATTGAGATACCTGGATTGACTTGTGGAAATGAATTTTATATCAAACTAATGTATTGAATTTGGAAAAAGTTTTGAATAAATGAAATGTTTTGAAAATTGGGAAGAAAGGGTTTCTATTGAGAAAGCAAGTGGATTTGAGAATGCATTTGGGCATATTATATATGTATGTATTGCATTCATGATCATTTGCACTGGTGGAGCATATTTAGTTTTTGAAATATTTCCTATTAGACTTTATGCTCACCCAATGTGGCTAAAAATGTTTTTCAGGTATGCTTATGCAGATGTCGATTGAAACATTGAAGTTGTGTTTGGAACCGTGTAGGGTGGTTCCTTTAATTGTCGGCCAAGGGCTATTTATGTATTTGTTGGTCGTGTGCCATTCTTGTAAGGGTTACACCCTTTGTATATGATGTAAGCTTTTGGGCATCTTAATTTGATTGATAACATCTTTGTATGTTTCGTTACAGAGCATCCATTTGACGTAGATATTGTATCTAAGAATGTGTAAAATTAGAATAACACATGTACTGTGTGCTTATGTTATATACATTTACATGAGTATTGTTAGTGATCATCTATTGTTGGGTGGTTACTCACGTGGGCCGGACCTCATAAATCTAAGGCATGACAACTTGGTATCAGAGCTAATCAGGTTTGAAAACCTTGGGCTCGTGGGAAGTGGTTAGCCATAATGGGTTTATCATGCTCGGTGAGGACATTTGTATGTTGTGTGCTAAATGATAACATGCTTATGTGTTGCATTTTATGCGGGCATGGTGTTGAGACTCGTGGATATTATTTGGTGTCCAGTTGACAAACTTCGATGTCTTATTGGAAACGCGCTTGATCAACGTTGTTTCTAATGAGAAATCTAAACGAGTACTGGAACAAATGATTATCTTTATAGACTTAACGCGATTACGTGTTATGTGTTATGTGGTAGATGGTATGTAAATTAATTGGAGTCTCAATGGGGTTGTTTTAGTAATTGTTATCTGATTGTGTTGTGTTAGTATTTTGGGAATATGTGTCAGTGTTATGTATCCTAAGTTGTGTGTTTCATTTGTTATAGAAACATTTTGGATTGAGTAATGGACTTGGAGTGGGCACCTCAATGAGTGTTACACTGGTGATATGTTGTGTATTAGCATAAGTTGTGAGTTGGTGTTGGTAACCTAGAGGTTAGTATTGTGGATTGTAGTTGGTTGGGATGTGAGTGTGGTTTGACTTCCCTCGTGGTTGGTAGAGCCTGTTGGGACATTTAGGCTTGAGGTCTCTCTTTATAGACGATGAGTGTTTGGAACAAGTGAAGTCGTTTTCTGTACAAGTTAGATGAAGTAATTAGTTGAATACTTGGTAGGATTTATAGTTGCTTTGGGTAATTAGTTTTGGTTATCTTATTTTGTGACTGGAGGATAAACGGTTGTAATTATTATGTGGTCTTTTTCTTTAGTAATTGGTACGGTATGGACCGTTGAAATATTATGACTGCGTTCATGAATGTTTGGTGGGTTGTTTATTTTATGAGTTGTTGTGGAATTGGAAAATCTTTATATGGACGTGTAAGAACTATTGCGTTTTAACTTGGGATTGTAAGGGTCAGAGAGCCTTGTTTTGATTAGGGTTTGTATGCTATGTTAAATAATTTGTGTTTGGTTGAAATTGATTTACAATTGATGGATGGTAGAGTTGGTTGTGGAAGATGAGTATGTTAAGGGTCATTGTGTCTTGTTGGGTTATTGTGAGGATAGAGTTTTACCAGTCAATATATATTCAGTTTGGTTGATATTGGTTATTGGTTTATGTTAGAGATATGATGATTTTGGTTTAGACCCAACCTATTTGACACTTTGGGATTTAGAGTTTCTTGCCTTTAATGGTTGTTCATATCATTGTTTAACTTATTCCTTGTTGATTTGAGTTATTTGAGTATTGTGGTTACATTTGGAATAGGTCGAGGGTTTGTTTTTCAATAGAAATTTTGTCCAAATTTTGGCCTCAACGCTTGAGTGGTACTTTCTACGCTCGAGCGGTCTTTGACAACTCACAATACTTTGGCAGGTTTGCAGAGATACTGAGAGGATGTATTCTTAGCTTGAGTGGTGTTGCGCTCGAGTGGTCTTTGTTGCGCTCGAGCAATGGTCTTTTGTTTGCAAAACTTCTAGGAGTTGGTATTATTCGCTCGGGAGGTGTTTCTTGCGCTCGAGTAATACTTCTTGCACTTGAGTAGTCAGCTTCTTTTGTAATTTTTGGAAGTGTGGTGATTTGGTTGCTCGAGTGGTTTGTGTATATTTGGAACCCATTATGGGGGTGTTTTGTGTTAGAGTACTGTTGTTTTGGTGCTAAGTGAGAAGAGTAGTTGGGTAGATAAAGTGCGAGTCTTATGGGTCAACGAAGGGTAAAGTGTTGTTGTTTATACCAAGAAGTGGGTTAGATGGATCGATGTCCTTATAACATCTTTAAGAATTCCTTATCAAGTCTTTGGGAGTTAGCAATGTTGGTGTTTGAGTTAGTAAAAGTGGTTGGTATGAGAGTGACTTGAGTTTATTTTATGGGGAGAGTGGTTAGTTCTGTTTTATGGAAATTGCTTTAATTATAGATTTTTTTTGTTTGGGATTGGCGATATGTAGGGGTATGTTGTTAAGAGATGTGGAGAAGGGGATTGGTCATGTGACTGTCCTAGGAGGTTGCCTTGGTGTGGTAATATTACTTTTAGTGTATTGTTACGTAGTTTAATGTGTGCTAAGTTAAATTACTTTCGTCATAAGTGAAGGTTGTTTATGAACCCCATGTAAGATCCTTAGTGTTGGGGTCATTTTCTGTTGTAGTTTTAGTTTGAGGATGGAACTTCTAGTGGTATGGTAAGGTTGTGTGGAGCGGGTAGTGAGTTGTGTAAGTTTGTTATTTACTTTGTTGATCTTGGGGTGAGTGTATATTATGATCTTTGGGAGTTCAGCTCGAACTCAAGTGTGGTGCGAGGAAGTATTGCTATGTAGGCATGTATGTAGGGGATGGGCTAAGATTTGAGGTAATATGGGTTAACTTGAGAAATCCGGTGTGATTTAATGAGAATGTAAGATTGTGTGAGAAGCTCCATCTCGAAGTTGATTTGGTTAGGTAATATGTGTTGGTGTAGTGTTGAGATATGGAGTTAAGTGGTATGTCGGTGTTTGGGGGCTAGTATAGGATAGTGGTGTCGAATAATAGATTGATTGGCATTTGGATTGGTTGACATATAGTCACCTCAGGAATAGGATGGAATTGAAGGATTGTGTAATTGATTGATATCTTAGTGTGGCATGTAAATTCCATATGGATAGTTGGGAAGTTATTTTGAGTTTGAGGTAACTGGTTTGGGGTTACGGTTTTACTGTGCTTTTGCGCCATTATGTGATTTTGAGCGTAAAATTTCTTTTTCTGGTGTTATTGCATTACTGGCATTTTGGAAATTTCTCGGGATTCTCATTATGGAAATTTGGTTTTGATATTGTGGCATCACCGTAGGTGTGATGGATTTTGCCGGCTAACCGTGTTGTGGTTCACCGGAGGAATGCTAATGAATGATTTTGAGGGGGAAAAAAAAATTCTTTTGGTGTTGTGGCCTTGGGTGCTTTTCTTGAACTAAAACGGTTTTGAATTAAAATGTAAATTTTCAGTTTAATAAAAAGTTGAATCCAACAAATCAAAAACAAAACAAAAATGGTTTTGTGTTATAAATATCATCTATGGTTTTCAGAAAAACAGTTTGGAAATCTTTGAGTTTTACTGTGGATGGTGGAAAAATATTTAGATTGTGACAGTGCGGATTTGAACACCTTTTGGGAAAGCAAAGTTTTTTGAGATAGATGGGAAAAGTAAGGAATTTTCTTTAACTTGGATGTGGTACCTTGTGTTGTGCGGTGCGTTGTGATCTAGCCTGAGTTGCTAGTTATGTGCTATGTGTTTACTTTACATGGGTTTAGAATTTGTCCAAGGCTTGTTATGCCATATTTGTTATTCTTTAGCCATACTTTACCTTGTGTTCTCGTTCCAGGGGTTGGTCAAGGGTTTAGTGTGAGAGGAGTCCTCTTATTCTTTGTGTTCGAGCGTTTGAGCACTCGGTGGTGATTTCGATGTTGTAGGTGATTTAGGCGTGGTTGACGTCTTTGAGTCCGAGTGGTTACTGTTGTTGTTTCTTGTCTCATAGACCATTACAAGTCATGTGGGTCAAAAAGGCATACGTGTTTGTTCCTTTGTGTTTTGTTGTTTAGGCATCTTTGGGGCCTGGAGGTGTTGAACTTAGAATCTAGAAACTTATCCCATGATGGATCTAAACATGGGTTGGGGTTGTATCCCTTGTTATCGTTGCGTGGTTTTTTGGTTTTGGCATTACTTCAAATTCGGGGACAAAATTTCTGAAGGTGGTGAGGTTGTAGCTGTAACGCCCTCAAAATAATACATACAACCCATCACTATAGGCATGCATTGATATAAAAGAAACTAACCATCTTTCCATTAATCAGAGTAGTTCTTACAAAAGTATTAGATGTTAACAACAAAAGCAAATGCCCTACGGGATTACAGCTTTCCAAGTTAACACTTGGTTACAAAAAGAAGAGTGCTAACTCAATACATATTAAGCCCTTGGCTTGAATTTACATGTAATACATCAAAAGAAAGCAAACAACAAAAGCAGTCTGTCTGCCTCTAGCCTCCCAAGCTATGTCCTTGGAGGTGGCATGCTACCTGTACCTGATGAGATGCACCCGTATCACTCAATACACTAGCAACCGAGTTACAAAACAAGAAGGTACCTCTCACAACTGACGGAGCAGGTACAAGATCCTGCGCGGTAA